CCCGTCGGCTTCCCCCAGCCCGCCCCGCCCCCCGGCTTCTCCGCCGGAGGCTACCAGCAGCAGAAGCAGCCCTACGCGCCCGCCGATCCGTACTACGCGCAGGGGTACCAAGCCGCCCCAGGTACAATTCCCCACATCCTCTTGCTTACCTCCGATGCTTATGTTTGGTCCGGGATACGATAAGCTCGTGTAAATTGAGGTTTCTGTGGGGCACAAGGCCGTGCCAGTGATATGGTCCCTGATGATGCACAATCTCACGGTTGCCTGTGCACGATCACAACTCGGAATTCTTTGATCCAAAATTCGTGCGCATGATCCAAATCCCAGCACTCACCTTTTACTTTGTCGGGTACTCCAGCGACGAATTCTAGTTGTGAATAGACCCTAGGCTTCAGCTTAACTATAATACATCAACTCACCACATGGATTCGACGGGCTACTGTTGTTTAAACTGGAACAGAACACTACATAGTTCCGTAATCCATGCTCCTTTAGGCTAGCAAGTCTTGATTAGTATTTGCGGCAACAATTGCGGACCGGATTGTCACATCGATAAAGACATATAATTCAACAAATTCTTAGTGTGCTGAATTCACTAGCCAGATATAATGTTTGGAAGTTTATTGCAGTTCTTCTGTCGGTCACCTTATACTTCTAGAAACAATCAAGATAAATAACTTCAGATCCTATTTCGCATCAATTTCTGGGGAAAACAGATAGGTGCATAGACTCGCACAAGAAAAAACAAATGGACCCCCAAGACTGATTTTTTTTCCCGTTAAACACGAGCCTCGCTCCTGGTTCCATCTTTCATAGAAAAACGAAACCAACATACAGCGTCAGGTTTTAAGGTTCACAGACGAGCTAAGCTCACAAATGCAAAGACAACTCCTACCCCTCACCAACACGGCAAAGGGCAAACCTAGAGCAATTGCCAAAGGACCTTACAGCAAGAACAGAAATACTCCATTTCGCTCTAGTTATACTCTCAACACATGGATTCCATCGCTGCATCAACGGTTCTTCATCAGGTACTCCAGCGTAGTAGCTCCCCAATGATCTGCATCACCCACTGCAGCTGCCCAGGAAGAGTCCATCATACTCTCTGCGCAGATCAGTCTTGCTCCAGCTCCCGTGGCGACCTCAGTTTCCTGAGTAGCAGATCCCTGGACAGGGCTGCATCCCCCCAAGAATCTCCTTGAGAGGTTTTGCCCAGTCTACTAGATAACCCACTATCAAATGCCCAGCCTGTTTCACAGAAATCCAGTTTTTTCTGTTAAATACTAAGGCATTTCTGCAAATCCAAAGTCCACACAGAACTGCAGAAGAAACTATGTTTAAGAGCATGAACTTTTTGTTCCATAGACAAGAGCAGCAAGTGACTTAAAATCAACAATATCAACCTTTGAAAATTTGTTTAACATCACTTCATATAGCTCTAGCAATGATGCACTCAAAAAACAGGTGATATACTGATTCAGTCTCAGTACAGTGAATACACTCCAGAGGTTTGGCTAGGCCTCTTTTCCTAAATCCGAAGATTGTCACAACACTGAAAAATATACATCCATGTTATACAATAGTCCTGTTTCTGGTGCCTCAGGTTATGGTCCTGTTGTTCAAGGTAGGCCTGTTGAAGGAAGACCCGTGAGAATGCGGCGCCTTCCATGCTGTGGGCTCGGCATGGGCTGGCTTCTGTGAGTGCCTCCCAATACGCTTGCTATTTTTCCTTACTTTCTGAAGTTAAACCAGTCCCTCATAAAGTTCTGTTCTCTTGCTCGAACAAAGGTTCATTGCCGGCTTCTTCTTGGCTGCCATTCCGTGGTATATTGGTGCTTTCATCCTAATCTGTGTCCGGGTACATGACCACAGAGAGAAACCAGGATATGTTGCCTGCACTATTGCTGTAAGTTACCTTTCTGATAAGACCGCAATACTATGCTGCTGTTAAGATTTCACTTAGGAATTCGAGACTGTGAGCTTTATGGTCCGTTCAACCAGTTTTGTTACATTAACTGAAATAAATTAGCTCAAAAGAATATACTCAGGTGCTGCTTACAGTTAATTTTTCTTGTGATAGCAGCAACTAAAATATTGGTATGGCCGAATTGAAAAAAAAACTCTTATCAAAATGGAAGTAGATTTTTACCGTACAAATTTAGCAATTGCAAGCAACATGGAAATCATTAGAATCACAAATTACAAGGTATAACCTGTCACAGTAAATTATTTTCTGTAATACTTGGCCTAACTTTGCATTGGAATTCACTGCATTGCACAAACAGGCTATAATTGCGGCCATTGTTATACCCCTTGGAGTAACAAAAGGAACAGACTCATGGTGAGCCACCACCAGCTCTTGGCAGGCGGTTCTGTTGCTGAATATAAACATCGTTATTTCTGGACTAATTACATGATAGGTTATTACAAAGTCTGCTGGTTGTATTTCATGTATGAGTGTGTCTTGTATACATATATGTACAGTAAAAAGAGTGGGGCTGCATCTTCGATGTTCTCTTGTATCGATACTTGATACTTATAGTGTGTAATAAAAGCTCGAATGTACAACACATATCTTTCTCGAGGTTACCTCTCGTTCAAATTCAGTACTACAAGGTACACGCTGCAGCATTCTACAATGGATTCCTTTGCAATACCTGCAGTAACTTAATGTTGAAATTTGATGTATCACTCGACAATTGTTACCCCTCCTTGGAGTAACATAAAGGGAACAGACTCGTGGTGAACTGCAACCAGGTCTTGGCAGTGGTTATGTTGATGAATATAAGTGGTGGTTATTTCAGTTCCTGCATCGACGGTCGATGTCCTCTTGTACCTATATTTGATACATACTGCATCGATGATGTGATGTCCCTTGTATCAAGATTTCGGGTTTCTTCTTTGTAATAAAGCTCAAGTGTTTTCAACACATATTTTATATGAGGTTACATCTGTGTCAACTGTCAAGTTCAGCACTTTCATATGGTATCTCAAGCAAGTTTCATTTCTCATTATCATAAGGAGTATAGGCGATATTTACCATCTGAATCAGAACCTATATTGCCCACATCAATTTGTTAGTTTATGTTCCAGCTTGACAATTTGTTTGTCGAAAGCAGTGATGTTGTTAGTTTAAATGAATCAAACCCTGCTGCCCATGAAATCTGTTACACTTTAGGTCCTGGCCATGTGTTGGCATGAAGAACCTCCAGATGATTATCATTCGAGTTGTATACTCCCTCCGTAAAGAAATATAAGAGCATTTAGATCACTACTTTAGTGATCTACACACTCTTATATTTGTTTACAGAGGGAGTAGGCGCCCCAAAATATAAGAACGTTTTTAACACTGGTATAGTGTCAAAAACCGTTTTTATATTCTGGGACAGAGGGAGTATGATTTAGAGACGAACGGCGGCATTTTGTCGGGTCAGGGACTCAGGGGGAATACAGATCTTTTGTGCCATGTTAAGTTTCATGTTGTAAGTTGCCACAGCGGTTTCTCTGCCTCGCATCTCCATGTTGTGGATCAGCGAATGACCTCGAACTCGAAGTGGGCTACTGCTAGCTTAGTGCTATAGAAGCCAAATTATCCTACTGGAAATGGAAATTGAACCTTCTATAGCCAGAAAGAAGCACTGGCTATGTTTCTGTCGTAATGTTTATAGTGGCGCGTGTGTATTGTCTAGATTCCAAACATTCATGGCATAGTATCGTGTTTCCATTTACATTAGCAGTTCATTTCTATAACTCCCAAAATAGTCTGACTTTGGTTGGTTGTTGTTCGATGAATAACAAGAAATTGGTATTGCAGCTTGAGACAGAGTACCTGAAAGAACTATGTTATCTCCTACTACTATATTACATATAGTCTTTACTTCCCTCAAAAGAAAATACATATAGTCTTTACTGGTCAGAATCCCCATTTCTAAATCCGTGTAGCCTTTTTTGAATATTGCTTGGAACTGGAAACATGTGACCTGAAAAGTGGTCAGACAGTTAGATTAAACTTAGCTTTTCTTGGACTTACAGTAGTGGTCATGATTCAGTTTGATTAAGCTTGATGAACGCGTAACAGCGTACCTTTTTTTCTGAACCATGGTTTATCCAGTATCTGATGGCCACATAGCTTGACTTACTTGGAGATTTTTCTAAAAGATAGCTTCTGTAATTACAGAGAATTTCTAAAGCATACTCTTCTGCTAAAATGTCTTGTACTGTGAAAGGTCCTGCAAAAATTGTCGAGAAAGCGAGAATCTTGTGCAAGCGTTCTTTCTTTTTTTCAAAACTGGGCTCTTATCTCACACGTAACATAAGAAAGAAGGCACAGACTTTTTTTCAGTTTGTGGCAGTGGGTTTCTGGGGCATGAAATTTAGACTGATGTTCAGCATGGTGCATATCAGTCTAAATTACTTTCAAATATTGAGACTTCTATTTCTCCACTTATAAAACATAAAGGCTACTTGTGTACTCTTAAGGTGTAAAGGCCATGCAAAATGGTTTTCAGCCAAAACTCCACGCTATCTACTGGCATCAACATCTATTGGCACTATCACCCTGAGAAAAAACTCTGACCAATGCACGCTAACATACATTGGGATTTTTACTTGGAAGAACAATCAAGGGCCAACTCAATGAACTGATAATTTGGCACTCGTAAACGACAACGGCGCTACGCAAGTAATCTTAGGGCCCAAAATCCGGATATCAATAAAAAAAACAAAGTAGAATCAGATATAATATTATATCAGCAACCTTGAGCTCTACACAAGTAGCCCATCAGTTAATTAGTTCATCTCCAGATCACAACCACCAGCCAAGCCTCACATAATAAGAAGGCATGCATCCACACGCTGCTGAAAACAGAATGCAGAGCTTCACAGCCACCCTTCTGAACATCAAAGTTACGTACTCCCTAGTTACTACAGAAATGTCGATAATACGGTGCCATTGTGTAACTGTATCAGATGCGCCACCTAGTAGGTCAAACAGCCTGGTGCTTGCCCCACGAACTAATAAGCTCTCTGCACTCTATAGACCGCCATCATGAGGTTAAAGAGGCAGGACGGCGCGATCGCAAACCAGCTAAAGAAGGCCATGGCGGTGGCGGCCATGAAGCCTGGGCAGTGGTTGTCCGAGCACATCATCAGGTCGTCGTCGAGGAGGATGGTGATGCCTGCCGACCCACTTGCTGCAGCGAACGTCAGCGCGCCTGTGACCTGCAGACAAAACGTCGGGGGGTCAAAACCGGATTGTGTTTGTTTTAGGAGAAAGAGAAATGCACCTGATCGTTAAATGATTCTTTGCTTGTTTCATGTATGTAATGTAAAGCTTTTCTAGTGTAAGAGATCACAAGGAATGAGCGACAGAGGGCTTTTTTCGCAAAAAAAAAAAGAGCGACAGAGGGCTGTCTGTTCTGAGGTGCCTGAGAAAATGTGTGACTTACCCAGTCCCCAATGGAATAGATGGTGGTAGCTCGAGGAGACCGGAAGGAATGCTTGACAAGAAGTGCGTAGATGTCCACGGCGCCAGAGCGAGGCTCCACAGGCATTGCAAGCTTGCTGCTGCGACGAGGAGGCTGCTCAGAAGAACAACAGTGAGTTCATCTCATCTACAGGAGGAAATCAATCCCGTGTTCCAAGTTGTAAAATCAATCTGTAGTGGAAAACACAATCTAATCGCCCCCACAGAAATAAGGTAAGATACGCTAGCATGCTACATTCATTGTTTCTTCTAGTTGTCGATGCTATCCCCCAACACTGACAGAACGTAGATATCTTCAAATGTTTCCCCAAAGACGGCAATGTGATGCATACGAGGAATGTCCATTACAACAATCAAACTGTTCTGCATTCCGACAAGCAGCCAAACTTATTATCAGCGTACGCAGCAATGAGATGCTTTTGTCGAATGCCTAGGGGAACTATGCACAGGTAAATCAATCTGCTAATTTTCCACACAAAAAAATGGTTATGATCAGCAAACAAGGGCTCAAGCTAAACATTGTTATATCCAAAGGACACAACTATGAACATGACCATGTCACCATCCGATCTAATTGCATTGCCTCTTTCAGGATGCCAAACCAGTTAAAAAGGCGTAAAAGTAGTGAAATGCGCTAACAAAGATGAGCATCTGTCTTTGGAGGATCAGGAAAGCACCCATCTGAAAATTGCACCTTCATGTTCATGCTTGATAGTGGTATGTGTCAACAGAAACCCTGAACCTGAAAGCCCAGGCTGCTGCTTAACCCCAGCTGGCCCCTGAGCCGCTGCAGCCGGAGCCGGGCCCTGCCCCTGCTCCGCCGGCGCCGCCGCCGCAGCAGCAGCCTCCGGGTCCGGGTGGACGAGGGGATGGCTGGGCTGCGGGAGCATGGCGCCGCCGTGGTGGAGCCAGTCCCAAAATTGCGCTCCTCTCTTCTCTGGTAGAGTCTAGAGTGTAGAGTGTAGAGTGTAGAGTTGGCCGGGCGGGGTTCCCGAGGGATCTATGGAGGGCAGGCACGCCGGACGGCCGGTGGTGTCTCTGCTCCGGCGCGGCTTCTTTGCTCAATGTAGCATGATTGAGCGGCACTAGTGAAGAAACTGCGTTGTTTCCTCTCCAAAAATCCATTCAGTGAGCGCGCGAGCAGAGCACCTTCTGCTGGCTCTTACGTGTTTTATGTATGATCCTGCGGACCAAAGAGGCCCTGAGCATCTTTTATTTTCTTCTCCTTTTTGCAGGGGAAATACATTCTCTTGCTTACGAAATCATATATTTGCTAGTGGCTACGGTCACAATTAATTTTCAATCCCATATGAAACATAAATTTTTTTTCACGCATTTCTGGGACAGTAGAGACGATGCCCTCGCAACTGTGCTAATGGTATGATTAACAGTTCAAAATGATCTTGTAAAATTTGAGTGCGGGCAAATCCCACTCAGCTTTGCATCATAAGTTCCAACCACATTTTATTTATACCGTTGACAAGTTCAATGCCAACAAACCTCTTAATTCGTGGGGCCAAAAATCACCTAAAATCATCATCAGCTCACCAGTCTGCAGCACTTCCGGCCGGAGCTAACGGCACTGCTCGCTGCGTATGATGTGGACCGCCATGGCAAGCCTCTTGTCCACCACCGGTTCCAGCAGGCAGAGGTCTCCGGCCTGCAGGCGGTTGTCCGCGGCGAACTCGCGCCACCCTCCCGCCGGGACCATCCGCCTGTGACGCATCTCCACGCGCCATGCCTTGCTCCACCCGGCCTGATGGAGTGTCAGCGTCTGCTTCCCGTCTGGAAGGCGTCCGTCGGCAGCAGCAGCATGTCCCGTGGTGCCCAAGTCCTATAAAAACAGTTCAGTTGCAACAGAGATGGGAACCAATCAATCAATAGTGGTGAAAATACAAGTTCAAGAAGTTAAGAGCTAATCAATGCATGGATGAACTGTGAAATTTTAGATCAGAGGATCGCGGAATGTGCCATCTACAAAAAATTTACACAGGTTAAGAGCTACATGATCTTTGTGCAATAACTAAGCAGCGATCGGAGGTCAAGGTTTTAGAACTTACCAGGGCAGACCTCAGATTGCTCTTGTCCATGGCTGCCACATAAATAGGCGCTTCAGATCGGACTGCCTTCACCTTCTCTGCAAGCACCCTCTCCTGCGCCTGGGTTAAACGGGCGCTGCAGCCTAGCACCACATATCCTGGTCTGTCACAACCATCTGATGCTCCTGCAGATAAGATGATGTTTCACATCATTTAAGACCACATGTTGATCTTAACAGTGATAAGTTGAACATGTATACCGTCGACTGGTTCGTCCTTGACACATGCCGTCGAGGCGGCTTTCATGCTCGTTCCGCCAATTTTCGAGCCACGAACGACGTCTCCACCCTTGGATTTGCCGGCGCGTCTTGCTTTGGGAAGCAGATGGACCATCAGCATGAACCTTCTCCCCTCACCCCTGTTAATCGGCTGGAGCAGGCAGATGTCCCCCTCGCGTAGACGGTTGTCGCGGACGAACTCTAACCACCGCCCATAGAGGACGTACCCAATGTTGCCTCGCCTGACGTGAAAAAGGGGATGCCACTTCTTCTTCACTCCTGGGAGGGTAAGTATGATGTTTTGGCTTTCAGTGGGAAAGTGCGCAGCTGCATAACGCTTCGGGATGATCTGGTTGTGCAGACGAGATAAAAGACAAAAATCGCAATGAATTAAAACAACTGAGCCAACTATTCCTGGTTTCAGATATAAAGCAGGGAAACATGTATTATTGATCATACGGCCACGTAGTCCAGGTTTTGGTGATAGCTATGCATATTTTCGTCTGTTGTGTACGTGCTACACGAAAACCACATCCACATTGTGCAACTGCCACAGTGCAGGCCACTAATGTTTTCTGGAGGACTGTTGCATGACTTTCATTGCGTAACAACCTCTTTCTATATGCTAGTGACAATCAGTTTGAATCATCCTTATCTTTAAACCCAGATGCAAACTGTACATGGAACAAGGTATATAATTGGTAGGAAAAATTAAGTGTACCGAGCAAATAGAGAATGCTCTTGGAGGAAACCAAAGAATCTTCGTGGAACAACTGACGGTTTATTAGTCCACAAATAAAAATTATTTTGGGAGAACGAATCAAAAATTTTAGTTGGACAAATAAAAATATTTTGATTTGGTTCCAGTTTTAGAACTGTGATAAGAGTTACAATAAGGATTTGGCTATATGCATCATTGCTTCAGAGGCCGCAGGTAATAAAAGCTTTCTAAAAAAAGTTGAAGAAACCGAACATGCTAGTGGACTAATTCAAATCTGTTAATGGAATAGAAAAAATTATTGGTGGAACAATTAAATATGTGATGCGCCATACATATCCAGAATAAACAAACAGTAAAGTCCCCAGTGCAGAATAGGAATTACCAGAGCGGGTTGTGGTCCATTGACATTGCTCTTCATTATTTGAACCACTAGCAACGGAATTTCAGGCTGAATTTCAGCAATAAGAGCATCAATTCCTACCTCGTCTTCTTCATCAAGTCGGCACCTTCTTGACAATATATAGCGAACCTCGGAGGAAGTTTCCTGATGATCTGACTGGGTAGATTCATATTCAGATGGACTGTCTTCTCCTGTCAATAGTTTCAATGGTAAGATAGTATTGCCAAGAAGTAATTGCAGTGCGGCATTTGTAATAGCAAAATTTAGCAGCTGAGAGTTAATAATGTAGTATCATCGAAAGAGAGAGAGAGAGAGAGAGAGAGAGAGAGAGAGAGAGCTGGTGAAACTTACCTTGGTTTGAACATATATCAGTTCTTCCAACTTTGCGAAGCAAATGAACCATAAAGGTGAACCTTGTTGACTGAACCTCTGTCATTGGTTGAAAGAGGCAGAGATCACCCTTCTTAACACAATTGTCATGGACAAATTCACGCAAAGAAAGGTTGCGTCCCCTTCCATCAGGTCTGATGCGGAATTTGCATGGCCAAGCCTTGCTCTTCCCAGGCAGTTTGAGTGTGACAACTTGAGTTTTGTGTGGAAAGTATGCATGTGCATAATCCTTAGATATTACCTGATTAAAAAAGGGATGATTGGTATGGTGCTGTGTTGTGTAATCCTTGGACTGACAGCGACACTATTTTCATAATATAGTAATATAAACATGATGACAGTCGTAAAGCGAGATATGAATATAATGCCATTCAATTGTTTCATAAATATCCTTCAGAGGTTTGTTACAATTAACAATATCGGAAATAAAGATATTTAGAGAGGTGTATGTAGCTACAAGCATTTAACAATACATACAGAATTCAAACCAAACGTACCAGATTAGGATAGTGGTTCACATTGGTCTTCTTCATCATCACCACAAGCACAGGGGTTTCAGGTCGAATTTTCGCGACAAACTCCTTGATTTCATCCTCCTGTTCTTCTGTAAGATGGCATCGCCCTGCTAAGACATAATCCTTTGAGAGCCCCTGAAGATCATCTGACTCCATAGACTCGCCTTCGGACAGACTATCTTCTGCTGTAAAAGAGAGTCAAGAGAGATCAACATGTAGTAATTAAACGCTACTCACCAAATATATGAGTACACTGTACACAGCCGAACCTGATGATTCATCTGAAGAAGAATTTACCGCAGGCGCCTTTCCTGATTTTCTACCTTCTGAATCTGAAGCGCCATCAAAGGAACTGCTCGAAATATCAGCACCATAAGTGCTCGCTTTTTTAACATGAGCAGAAATTTTCGCCCCGGCACGACACGTGATCCTCTCCTCGCCATTGGAATCAAAGATGGTGACCTTGAAGCAGGAGATTCCAAGGTTACGAAACATCAAGTAACAGTTGTCTTGTATCTGATTTGCACGAACAAACGCCTCCCATCCAGACTGCAGGACCGATCTGTTCATCTTCTTGGCAACTCCAACGACATACATCTGTCCGTTAGGTGCTTCTAGTCGGATGGTCCCAGAGATCTTTCCTCCGAAATGGTCAACAAGACGCGCCGGTATGACCTGCAGCAAGCAGCAGTGGTGGAAGTGGAACCAAGGGTCAAAACAAAACATACAAAATCCAGCGAACTGAGGCAGCACCCTGAACAAAGAACTAAGGAAATTAAAAGTCAACATACCATGCTGTCTTTAAAGTTACCACGCATCTGCATGATGAACTTGGCCCTTCTCCTGCTGCACTCACAAGGATTGCTCATCACGACCGGAGCCTTCCTGCAAGATGGACCGTATATAGATCATGCCTTCAGATTTTCGCTTGCATAACTAATCCGTGTGATCCTAAAAAACTGAAGGTTACTGGCGACCCTCTAAGATCTCTTGATGGTATGGACGTACATATCAATTAGATTTTCTTTGTCTAGGAACAAGAAAAGCATCAGACAAAAGTGACTAACTAACCAACCAACCCTGCACCAAGATCTGCCAGATCGTCCACGTAAACAAATGGAGGCAAGAATCAACGCTGGATGGAAGGGGCTTGGAAGAAGAAGATGAGGAAGCTTACTGCGTCTGTGGTGCTGCACGTACTCAAGGGGTTGAACTGGAACGGCAACGGACAGCCATGAAGCACAGCTATTTATGAAGGGAATTGCAGCCCAGGGGACAGGGGTTGTCGACTCCAGCGGGCACTTCATGCAGGCTTAATGGCTATTGATGAAGGCATTTGCCCGTACAGTCACAATTGCGTCGTGGACATTTCCTCGAGCACCTGGCGGGCGGGCAGGCGGGCAGGCCATGGCGGCTGCCGGTGGCAAAGGCGCAACCGCCCGTGGTGCTTCGGCCGCTGGCACAGGGCCACCGGTGCTCGGGTTTTCGGGCCGAGGAGCAGTGGCCGCTGACACGACTGGCTTTGGGCACGGCGGCCTGTGGCGGTTTCGCAGGTGCGACAGGGGATGGTGGTGGTGGAAGACGGCGCTGGCTGTTGGTGACTGAAAGGCGGGGGCTTGGCCCGCCGGCGCCGGCGGAACGGGCACCAGCGTGGCCCGAGAAGCCGACGCCATGTCCACGTGGAGGTGCTGCCAGGGAGGGGCGGGGAGCAGGGACGAAGACGAGTGAGGTGTGCGCCATGTAGGCAGATCCACCGTCCACGTGCAATAGCATCCGGGGAACGTCAAGTGCGTGTCATTAGTTTCTCCAAAAAAAAGGTGCGTGTCATTGCATTTATTTAAAAAAATTGCGCCATCTCACTATGCATTACAGTACTCAGTAGGGAATATATCTACTGCATCGATGCAATTGGTGTCACCGGTGCATCGGACCTAATTGCACATTAAAAAATGTTCGAAAAAATCCGGAATTTTTTTAGTGCATTGGCATAACATCAATGTATGTTGTGATAAAAATTCAACTCAAAATTTGAAACATTGCTCGAGATACAAATTTGACAAATATTTTTCGGATTTTTTTCAAACGTTTTTAGATGTGCTAGGGGGGACCGGTGCACCCGTCGCATCAATTACCCTGGGTCACCATATACATTTCCACTACATGACAAATTATACGCACATCACATCATTAAGAAACGTATTTTTCATCTTTCATCGTACATAAGTCCTTGTCAAAACTCTTTCCCAACAAAAGAAGTGTATCGTCTGCATTTCGTGTGTGATGTATGTTTTAAACAATCACCCGACAGAAAAAAAAAGTGTCCCACATCATGTGTGACGTGTAAAAGTACTGCTATATGCATGACACTGACTAGACGAAGGCCCTGTTCGGCTGCTCTCCACCCCACAGCTCCGCTCTGGAGCGTCCGAAACAAAGCGGCCCACGGCCTATTTTTTTTGGAGTCGTCAAAGAGGCGCTCCATGCGCTCCCGTATTTTGCGGAGCTGGATGATTGCCAAACAAGCTCGAAATACACACCACATGCCATAGCCCTCCATCCAAGCCCAAGGCTAAACAACACCAGCGGGGTGGATTAGCTATCATTCACCACAAAGCGTGGAGTACTTTCCAACGTGTGACCACAACACACAACTGTCACCGAAACGCCCACCCATTTGCCAAAAAATAAATTAAGTTACTCATCACTAACTCCATTTGTTCACAACTATATGTTCACAATGGCGTAGCTGTAGACTAGTCAGGGTGGTCCGACCAACACTAACCTATATTTAATAAGAAATACAAATTTACCAACACTAACATATGTTTTTCCCTGGTTTTTTGTTGTAGTAGCTTGCTACCATTGCCGTACAAAGTGTAGGATCGAGAGTATATATAGAGGGGGAGGGTTAAATGGGAGGTTCAAACTTTGAATACTCTCAACACAGCAAGGTGAAAAATAAACTAAACATAGGCAATTCTACGAAAGAAATCAACTATGGAAGGAAAACTACAACATATCTACTACAAGATATCAAACAGAACACTGCTAAGAAGGATAACTAAGTAGCATTAAATATAGAATAGACGAACATAGAAACAAATCACCTTAAGCACAACTAGTTGGAATACAAATACAAACCTATCAAAGTACACAAACTATTGCACTCAACCATGCAGATGAACAACACAAAACAGAAAACATTACATAATAACTGAAAGTAATGATGTAGATAGAATCGATCAGTGGTGCTCGATGGTGATAGTTGATTTGGTAGGCCGGTTCACTCTTTAGACGTATATACTCTCGGATATATTAGTCTTGCACTGGCCATGCTTAGATTAATGATCTCCAAGGGGGAGTTTTGTATGTTAGTTGGATTTAACCTTGCAAGTAATCTACTGCAGTCAGTGGAAAGGTTTGCATTGTGTTATTGCCACTAAGAATGAAAAGGTAGTTGCCTCCGAGCCAGGGATAAACACAACCATACTATCAACATTCTTTTCAACTTACTTAAACAACAAGTTCCATATTAAAACTCGGGCCGTGTTTGGTTCGGGAAATGGAAAGGAAATGTAACCGAAAGCAAATGACACCGTTTCTGTAAAAACTATCGTACAAAAATCAAAATGTTTGGTTACTAACTATATTGGTACAACAACGCTTGGTCGTGCATTTCCTGCTCAGCTACCTCCCGAGCTGAATGCCCAACCTGACGTACCATCCTCATGAGCTTCTCACATTTCCTCTCAGTCATCTTGACACCTTAGAGGAGCCTGCACATCTCGTCGATGGCCTGGCCAAGAGGAGGTTCAGTGCGAAGGCGAGAAGGTACACACAGAAGTGCAACAAGTCGGGGGCTACCTAGGCGGCCGCGTCTACCGCCATTGGTTGTATGTTGTACTTCCCTTTCCCCGTGCAACATACAGACCAATACATTGTGAGTCCATGTGCCATTGTAGCACGCCCAAGAGAGTTGATCGTGGACGCCATTATCCGTAGGGACCTCTTCTTGTTCGCAAGTGGCCATCGCTTTCGGTGAGGGATTCGACAATGGCCTGCTTCACCTGTCACGTAAAGCAGTTGTTGTAGCGAAGCGAAGTGTGCAACGCGTAGAGGAGTACGTAATGCCCGAGCTTGTCATACCATGGTTGAAGCTCCCTCAACC